CAGGTTTCGTGTTATGTGATACTATTCAACAAAGTGTTTCTGTAATCTTGACAGAAATAGTGCTGTCTAGCAGATATGATCCCCAGTCATTCGAATGCACAGTTTGATATGTTACCATTGAGTTAAATATCCTACGACTGACCTCTTGTAAGACTGTGAGATATTTAGAATTACCCAACTACTAAGTAGTGACTAATTTAATGTTTGTCCCGTCTTTTTTATTGGTGATCAAATCCTGCCGATCGCCTTATAAAATGGACAATAGTCTAAATGGCTCGATATAGAGCGCTTAGATGTTAGATGGTTAAAAGTTCTAATAATAATAATAATCCTAGTAATAATGTTAAAGTATCAGAAATTTGCTGAATTGCGTAGAATTACGCTTATAACACAAGTGTGAAGTATTAAATGGGTAGAGATCATTGTTAAAACAAATTTTAAGGGGATATAATAATTAAAGATTCAGTCTATCTTTACAGTAATGAACACTACAGTATGGTATCACACTTTACAATTCTTTGCACTTCTTTGACAATCTTATCTTCCTATAACACTTCTCGTTTTCCACTTTTCTTTAGATTAATAAAACCAAATTTCATTTCTGTAAATAACCGTTTGAATTTAAAAAAAACTACTAAATGAATCCAATTATGGCAAATCATGGAAAAATTTCATTCAGCCAAGTAGCTGTATGTAATCAGCAAAAACCTAAACAATACACGTACATTAGTTTCATTACATACAGAAGCTAAAACGTAGTATGAATTTAATTTTCATGAAATAAAACCATAAGCCAAATTATAAACTTCAATATCAAATAAACAAAATTTGATAAATTCTTCTTTTTATCAAACTTGAAACAATGTATCCTTCATAAATGGAATGTTAACAGAAATAACCAATGGAAATCAAGTAATTTCTTTAGTTATTCACAATATTCGTTTACTAGTTTATATGAGCTTAAGTAATGAACTATTTTCTTGAATTCAGAACACACTATATCATAAACTAATCTGTATCAATAGTTTGAAAAACCTAGTTGATTGACTAAGATTATATATATATATATATATATATATATATATATATATATATATATATATCGAGAGAGGGAGAGAGTTGTATTCACATACGTTGGAAACAGTATTCGATTGAATATATTACATAATCATTGTCAAACTAGACCGTATGTTAGTCATTTTATGTCACATGAATCATGAACAATTGGTATTTGTTGAATCACAATGGATTATTGATTCAATTTAACTAATGTCATGGTTATTTAAGTTTGAAATAGTTCAATCATAGAAATATTTGGTAAAATAAAATAAAAAATATATTGATATTTAAAGCTTTTCATTTACTGTGAAAAGATTCAGTTTATACTCAATTGTATTAAGGTTACAATTAAATAAATAATTTTGTTTGATTGATGAAATTGAGAATGGAAGTTTGAAATAAAAGTGATAATGGATCAAGAGAATTAGACTTAGAAACATGATATTCAATAAAGTAATTCAGATTGAAGTAGATTTCAATGGGTAAGATCTAACCAATTTAAAGATAATCAGAGACACAAGTAACCAGTCTAACAATAAATGGAATTGGTTTAGTAGTTTAAAAAATACTGTAAAAATCAAATTACCTTGACGAGCGAATGTCGGTAGATTTATTGGAATTATCTAGCAAATAAAACTTTCTATGAAAAGGGTTTCAGCTACATAGGGCAATGACAGGATAGTCACGATTTCCTTCTTCACAGACATGTTAAATGTAAAAAACACATGTGAAGAGGAAAGTGAATGAGATGCTTATTGTATGTTGTTTATTTTAAAATTTCTAGATCCATACAATATTCAACATCCTCTCGATATTTAATACTAACATTTTTATGTTTAATGTATTCATCATTTCTGGTGTATTAATTTTCCACTATCACATCTTTCACTGACCAAAACTAATGATATAACTTATACGCTTATAAATATCCTATATCACATCTATTCAAACTTAAGTACTTTTACTGATCAAATGTCACCAGTTAGGAAGAACTAGTGTAATAAACGAAAATTTGGTTAAAGTTACCCAATATACTGTAGTGTGAAAAATTACACACTGCATTTGCAGTTGTCCTTTACAAACTTCATTGTCCTATCATTCCTGTCGTTATTTCAATTGCTTTTAATCTTTAGTTCTTCTCTTTTCATTCTATTCTTAATTCCTGATAAATACTACTTATATCTGTCCGTACAAGTAGTACGCACCGCACTGGTTTAATCAATATTCTATGAATTACATCCATCATTCTATCTATATCAATTTGCAATGAGATTTGTTCCCCTATCTATATAGTAAGACTATGAATAAAATAACACATTTTGAACGACCATATATAATAATGTAATCTATCTACTGCATACATATATTCGTTTACTTAATCAAAATTCAGTTAGGAATGTTGAAAACGAAAAGTAGTAACTCAATTTTCTAAATTGACAAAAGAAACTTTAATTGTGTAATTTACTTTATGTGTAATTCAGTAAGTTAAGTTTATGTAACGGAGAAATTTTTGACGGAGAATTTTGTTGGTAAAAGTTTATTCCAGATAAACGACGGGGCTCTCGATCACATATGGTGAAAGCAAAGCTCATATATAAGCTCAAATAGTTTTTAACAGTAACAAGGTTTGTGGAGAATGTAACAGAAGTGGTTTGTTCTAAACTCATGAAATATTCATTTATGTGTGGTTCTGTTATGTATTATAATAAAGATATTTTACAATATCATGTAAAAATGAGGGTTATATTTGTACCAATTATTAGTTTTCGTATTATAAAACTAGTGCTTATTGTAGGCAGCGAACTGTAGTTCTTACACATTTTTTTCATTCACACAGTGCTGTATCAGTGGTGTTTGACTTTGTGAAGTTGAGACTAAAATATTACCAAAAGTACTGTAGTGAGAGTGTCCAGATTTTAGTCTAATCTCAACTATTGCATTTTAACAAGCTAGGTGCATGTTGGATATCAGCTAGCCGAAAATATGTAACACGATCATACATAGGTTTTAGTCACTGATAAAAAACCTGTTATCCAGTTATTTTATTTACACTGATTACACAAAGTACTTTACGAATAACTCATGTCTGAAATAGAATTTTCTTTATGAATTTAAACAAGAAAAATACTGATAGTATTTGTTTTAGACTTAGAATGATACAAGTGATAAATCAAGGTGGATTTTGTGTTTGAAAAAATTAAATCGTCCATGTTGGGCTTTGATCTTAAAGCCATGTAGCTAATTTTCTGGAATACCAACAAAACGTTTGTGAACGATTGCGTTCCAATAGCTTACAGCAACATGGGTACATTTATTCTGAATAAATTAGTTGTTAAGTCTGTAATATATGTTGCACATTTCCATGACTAGTAATAACTGAGAGTATTATATGCAGACATATTGATTGGTTCATTGTGAATTTTTCAAATGGCGTAACAGTATCATCACATATTCGTCGTCTTTATGAATTTGTGAATAGCGTACGGAAATAACTAAAATTACCTAAAAGTAATCGAACTACTAACAGTATGATGATATTGTTCAGGATTTTTAACTAAAGAATAATTGCTTTTGTAAAGAGTTTCGAAATTGAATAATAACCACCATATGTTATGTCTTAATAGTTCAGATGTTCAACTTTCATGTATTAATTTCGAATCCCACTTCATCTACTACAGTTCCACTAACCCTAAATATTATGTCTAAAGGCCGAGTGCACAAATCTGTGCTCGACAGACTAAATCATGGGTTTTTTCAGTAGTTTATTAATCCAAACGTTATACAAAAGTATAATAAAGAAGTATGAAAAAATTTTCCCCAATGAGTAAAATGTGAATATTAGAGTAGCTGAGAACTACATTACATTTTATCCCCCGACTATTTATTGTTTTTTTTAATTGATTAATTAACTTGATCTTCAAAAATATACTAAACAAATTTCGGAAAGCAGTGAATGTGATAATCGATGAAGTTTTTTTAGAAATTTATAGAATTTTCCAGGATCTACATTTTTGAAAGTGATATAAATCTTAAATTCACTTGATGTTGTTTTAATGGTATCTTCCCATTGTTATTTAGGAATGCAACTGATCAGTCTCATGTTGGCATATTAGCATCCCGTGTGGATTGCCTCGACATGTCCTCAAGTCACAAGCTTCTTCAAGCAAAGATGGATAGTGTCTAGCAGTGGAATACATGATGCGCGTTTCATCCTATTTGAGACTCGTCAGCTGGATGTACCTACGTCTCAGAGTTGATGTTCACACCGGGACTCGGACCCAGTACCGTTCGCTTCAAACACCATCGCGCTATCCACTTAGCTACTGAGTCCTGATAGCCACCTGCTGGCGCAAATAAGCGGTATTAGGCTTGAGTCCTGGAGTGAACATCAATTCTGCGATGCAGGCACATTCGACTGACGAGTCTCGAATAGGACGGAACGCGCATCCTGGATTCTACTGCTGACCACTATCCATCATTGTTTGGTATAAAATTTGTTTCGTTTTTTTTTACTAAATGTAATTATTCTCATGCAGTATTTATACATTTTCTAAAAATTGCATGGTATCATGACAGTCGATTGCAAAAGTCATGATTTGAATGATGTGAATTTATTTTTTTATGAGACTTTTTTAAAGAAAAGATAATTGGTTCAGTAAACAATATAATAATAATTTTAGATGGTTGATTTTCCACGGTGTTTTAGCCTTAATTGACTCGTGATCTCAACTGTTGAATACATATGTACTATTATAATCTCAAAATCCACTTATTCAGTTCCTACTTTAAGCAATTTTCTTTAAATTTAAACAGAACATTCATACGTTTCCATCGCATTTCCATTCATTCACAAACTTTCAACAAATACAAACAATAAATTCCCTTTATGATTTATTATAACCTGTAATTTTTGTTTTCATCTTTATCCATTCATTTTGTAGAACACATCAGTATACAAACACTGGCAAAACAAATATAATTGAATTCTTTTTGTTGAACATTACAATAATGCATTTTCAATTAAACATTGAATCAATTCTATACTCAATTATGGAAAAATTCAAACGAACACTTAATATATATATAATGTTTCAGTGGAAATATTCCATAAAAAGATCTTTATATTCATATCAGAAAATTAATCATTCAGTAAATAGTTCTTTAATTAAAAAATCATTTATAATATCAATGTTGGTGAGTTTGATTCTGATGGAAATTTCAGCAATGTAAGTTCATTTCTAATTAGTATATTAATAATAATATTTTGTAATAAATCATTTTTCGTAAATAATGGTAATAAAAATTTATTTATCTAGTTATTGAAAATTTATTAAACCATATAGTTTATATCAGAAGGGGTTTTTGGGGATATTATAGTAATTTCAATAGTTGAGATCATGAGTCAATTAAAGCTAGAACACCATAGAAAATCTAGAAGCACTGGATGGCCATTTCGTCATATTGTGGGACTTTGCAGAAGTGCACATCCACGATCCCGTCTCCCGAGATTCGAATCCAGGATTTATCAATCTCGCCCGCAAACGCTTAACCACTAAACCACTGAGCCGGCATCCAACAGTGTTAATCTCTAACTTCAACTAATCCACGAGATTGAGCGACACATCAACCATTTTCTTCGGTGAGTTACTATCTCACAACAGACCTGGTTGAACTCGACTGGTCACTGCTTCTCCCTAGAATTTCAGGAAATACCTTTAGAAACCATTCACTAGTGAGCGTATGTTGATTAGTATCAGAAGAGGTTTTTGTAGATATTATAGCAATTTTAATAGTTGAGATCATGAGTTTGTGACAATTGGGACTTAACATCTACTATCCTTAATAATGAAAGATTTTCAAATGAATAATATAATTATCATAAATGAAATAATCAAAAGGTATGCGCTAAATTAAACTATGCATTTCGAATATTATGATATTTTACATAATTTTATGTAAAGGACTAGGTTCAGGAGTATTTTTGTATGTAAACTTAAAAGTTAATAACGTCCTATTATTTGATTATATAATATGACAGTTTGAATTAGACTAGATGAATAAGGTGCATAAATAGAGTTAAGGCGCATTCCTAGAATTTTTCTGTGATCTTTAGCGAGTTAATAAGACTAGAAACTTATGTTGATGATAATTTCCAGGTATTTGTTAATAGTATTCACTGAATACCTTGATACGTCACATCTAATTTGAGGAAAATTCTTCAAGTTGATCGAAAAAAGCTAGTAAAGTAGATGTTCACTACTTAATAGCTTTTTATCTTTATTTAATCGAATTTATCTTACTGTTTTAAACCCATATTTTTAGAAATCTCCTTCTACCTGTTCATAAACAATTTAAGGGTTTAAACCTGTTGATTTCATCTTAAAATGAATGTATTTATAAATACGAATCACTTTGAGAGTCAATAACCGTGTATTTTGGGATAAAATACTTGACTTGTGTATGTATATCATTCCATTTAATTTTGTTTTGGTAATTAAATAACAGCACAGGCGATTATACAAAAACTTATTATCCTCAAAAACATACACTTTCAACAGTTGAATTCACAAGTCAATCTGAACTAGACCACCACTGAAAACCTAGCAGTGGACGGTCGTTTCGTGACTCAAACTCAGGACTTTCGGTCTCGCGCGCGACCGCTTAATCTTTAGACCAATGAACCGGCATTCAACGGCACCACCATGTTCTTGCACAAACTTTCAGCCATTGCTTGAAATGGATAACTGTCCTATACCCGATACGGACTCCGCTGGCTACTACTTCTCACTAGAACTCCTGGAAATCCGTCTTGAAGCTGATCGCTAGTGAGCACACGATTATCATCAGTTTGGGGCTTTCAGGGGATTATAGATGTTCCAAACTAGAACGCAGCGGCCGTGCAGTACTTCCAGGTTTTCAGTGGTGGTATAGCTTAGATTGACTCGTGAATTCAACTGTTAAAATACTTTATTCCCCACAAAGTCCCATATTGATAACATTCAATTTTAACGCAAACTCCTTAAAAAATCATGATAATTTTTACAGAAACACAATACCTTAATTATTTACATCATTCACAAGCATTAAATCACTATATGTACCTGTCAACCAAAAACTTAATGAATCATTAGCAAAACATTTAATAGAAATATTTCAATGTCAAAATTTTATGTCAATTGAATTCTAGACATATCCTAAGGTATACAAGTATTCATGGTAACAATTAAAACATTAAAACAAAAACTTATTCATATCTGTATCCCATTGTCTGTGTCCAATCTCAAGTTAAGTAAGTTGTTTAGATCCTTTGAGAACACTATTCGTAAACGTAAGAATGTTTTCAACTTTTACAAAAATGTTTCAATGATAAGTAACACAATTCTTTATCTTTTTTATCAATTCCGATGACATTTTCTAGCTGATACATAACAATAGTGACAATAAATAAATTAAAATTACTTTCTGTTTTGGATAGGATATTGAATTAATAATGTTAGTTCGGCTCCATTAAAGCATACTTTCAAAATATTTTAAATTGATTTATAACGTAAGCTGCATTATTGAAAATCATGTTAAACTACTTGAGAAGAACAATGAAAGAAAGTTTATTCCTTGATTTTATTACGTAGCTTCAAATGGAAAATTACAAAAACAAGTACTTTATTGAAATATAATTTCAATCATTGAATAGTTTTGATAACGCAAAGTTGTCATGACAACTATCTCACAATTGACTTTAACTGATAAGTGGATAATAATAAATAAACAATTGATTGAAATATTATATTATGTTGCTAATTATGAATGTTTTAAGAAGCATATTGAATAACTTTCATCAATAAGTTGAAGGCTGGTTTGCTTTTTCAAATGCTAGAAACGATTTTAGATTTTTAAAAACTGTTAGGTAAACTGGATACATATATCTATTGGAATATAAAAACAAGAACCAATTTTAAAAAAAAAGAGTATCAAAACAAGCTAATCAAAGAATTGATTAATTGGAGATTTGAATTCCATTAACCCCTGGAAAAAATAGTTAAAAGATCACCAACTAGGTTTATCGTTATTAATATTATTATTTTCCGTATATTTTATTGGTTTCCTCACTAGATTTAATACTGACTTTTTAAATTTATTTTATAAGTAATGCTTAACTAAATTTGAATGTTTTTTAACTAATTACTGCTTAGGATTATATCAAACATACAGCGACTCTTCATTTCATTCATATAGATTAACAATAATTGTTATGTTTCTTTTTAAATGTCGAATTTCTGGCAAATAACTGCTAAAAATTCTGAAATAAAACATAGTGGTAAAGTAAAAGAATTGGCGTTTTTTAGCGAGCTAGTTTCTTACGAGATGGGATCGCTAACCCCATGCCCAACCCTCCTTCTCTATCCGAGCTCTGGACCAGCAGTAGCTCCAGGGGGGCTTCATGCGGAGTTAAAATAGAGGAATAAGAAGTACTAAATAAAACAGTTTGTATTTTTTATTCAAAATCATTGAACTGATTCATATTGTACCATTACTCAGTAAGACAAGCTAATGATATCTAGTTACAATCATATGAGGTGGTTTTAGTTGAATTTTTCTGCTCTTACAAATAAGGATAAGGGTTATCCAAAGATCAAAATAACTTTTGGTTACTGAGACTGAATTTTACCCTTAAGAAGTTCTAGTCTGACGATGAACGACTAATATGTCGTAATTTAGGCCTGTTTAACTCATGAATTCACACTAGATTCAAAAAAAATTTAGAACATGGTATCGTTGAACCACTGAGGCGACTCACTATAGCCAGAAAATTAATCCCTACCATCAGCAAGAGAACTGCTTCGTTTACATTATTGCTTTAAAAGGATGCTAGTTGAGTGAAGTCAGTAATGCGAATCACTGAATCGCAACTCACTAGTCTAAAACTATTACCTTTTTGGTGAGACTTGGATCAAAACCTATGGAAGTTTATGTGTCCTAAAACATCCTACACCATTCCTAGGTCCAGTTTCTTCAAACCACTTAGTCAAATAAGTTATGAAACATATTGATATGTACATTTTTTGGGCACTCATCGTTATAATCATTCCTAATTAGGAATCAAATGTAAACAAGTAGAATTTGTTGAACCAAATCATTTATTTTACCACTAAGAAAAATTTAAAATAAGTTTATCTTATCAATGTACTTTGCCATGAAATCCTGATGGATTTTAGTAAGAATTACATATTCTTATATCTTCTATTTATTAATTTTATTTTCACTTTCATTTATTAACATTGTGACATTTAGCCGAATAAAACATGATATATATTTCAACTGTAGTATAGTAAACAATAACATGGAGAAAATATGAACGTCAATGACCGAAGATAGTTGAACTCCAAAGGCTTACAAATCTTGTTTTTTATAAGATTTGCTCAATGCCCTTAACAAAACGATGAACTTTCAACTAAAAGCAAGTAGTATCACATACTATTTATCACGACTCTTCAAGTTACACTTCAGAAGTCTTAACCACAATCTCAGAACATAGAAATAAGTTAGACTTTGGAATAGTGTGTTTTAAAGATAATCAAACAGGTGGATGAGCGATCACTTTACTACATCGAACAAATTGAAACCCTGCTAACTAAAAGTTACAGGCAAATCAGTCCCGATCGCTCAGTATAGAATTTCAAACTTGTTTCTTCATATTTACTTTCGTTAAAATTCATTGGAAATACACAGCAAATTACTCGGAAGCTTTCTTCACTGTTATTCATTGCATAAGGCAGTCATGATTATTATATGAACATTGAAGATAGTTGTAAACAGAAAACTTTAGCAGTTTCTAAGCGGAAAGACCTTACTACGTAGACGTCTAAATCTTGTCTAAATGGGAATGTTGGAGCCATTGAAATTTATAACTTCAAATGGGTTCTTTTGGTTTTCATTTACTAACTTTTACCATAGAACAAGATTGAAGCACATTAGTTTCGTTAGTCACTTCATTGTTGACTATAATCGGTATAGATGCTAAGGTCTCATTGTTTGTTGTCATGCGTAAAACAGCAGTATACTATGAATAATTATTTTATATTGTAATAATATAATTTCAGCGTTCGGAACTTTGAGAAAAATCCACAAAATCCGCAGATTCTTTAAAATAATTTGTTATATTAAAACAATTCAAAATAACTGAAAGATTGTTCTGAATTTAGGGACGGATGCTTTCGGGATGCAAATA